TACTCTGCCTTTTACTCCCAAAACTCTACCACCAAACATCACAAATAAGACTGTCAAAACACCCCCACCCCAACTTACTCACCCCCACCCCCTTCAAGACTTAACAATCACACACAAATCTTTGCCTAAAATCATAAAGAAAGAAGTGAAAACAGACCCATCCACTCCCCCCCCTCCCCAAATCACAAATCTACTCAAAAAGTCATAAACAAGAAAACTCAACCCCACAATCTATCTCGAATCTCTTTCAATCGCCAATATCTCGACTTGTATCCAAGATGAATGGATATTTTTCTTGGAAAGCAATACAACTGAACAAGCTTGAAGATGATACCAATAACCCCAAATGCCCCAAAATTGCCGAGCGCCTGGCTCCACCGTGTCTTGAGACATATATTGAGTACTCCTTAGTTAATGAACTGGAATTAGGTCAGAGTGCAAGTTTTAATAAAGTAATAATAATAATAATAATAATAATAATAATAATAATAATAATAAAAGTACAATAATGATAATAATAATAATAATAATAATAATAATAATAATGATAATAATAATAATAATAATAATAATAAAAGTACAATAATAATAATAATAATAATAATAATAATAATAATAATAATAATAATAATAAAAGTACAATAATAATAATAATAATAATAATAATAATAATAATAATAATAATAATAATAATAATAATAATAATAATAATAATAATAAAAGTACAATAATGATAATAATAATAATAATAGTATCAGGGGCGAAGGCTGACTTGTTTGACAGGGTAATCAAAGTGAAATGGGACCAGATAGGGCCTGTAGATATCACACAAGAATCTTACTCGAGGCGGCGACTCTGAGTTTTGAATGAAAACAAATCCGGAATTCATATTGTATGTTCAACCGCCAAAATAATCGGGAAAGTATCTTATTAAATATCAGTTCCCACTAAAATTAAACTTAACTTTAGATGTGAATACATAAACACAAAGCAAAGAAGCAGAGATGTCAGTACTAGATCTATATGTTATAGATCTACCAGTGAGTCTAACTCTTTGGTAGAACATGACAATTATTATTTTTTAAATTTCACATTTGGCTGTTTTTGTTAGCCTTTCGCGGCCAGGAGCTGGTGTCATAATCGAGGTCACGATCTGATTATAGGACGGTAAAAAGTCGAGGGAAAAAAACAAGCACAAGCAGCAGTCAAGAGATTATTAAGAGTTAGTTCCCCTCACATTTGTGAGGTAGACTCGACCAGTGTTAGTTAGCTTACTTAATAAGGGCTTGTGATTGATTTTAACTGTGGCCCGAAAGGGGTGATCAGGGTATATGTGGCAATGAAACAGCTTTGACTGCCATGCACATGTTCCCTTCAACTCTATTCCAGCCTCACTTTATTTGTTGATTACGAACGTCTTTTGACATTTAATTTATGAGGTTTACGTTTAAGGATGAATTTGACAGCGCCAATGTTTCAAAATTAGAAAGGGAAGCAGTGATTATTTGATTATATAGACGCTTCGCCCCTGAATAGTATAATAATATAATAATAATAATAATAATAATAATAATAATAATAATAATAATAATATAATAATAATAACATAATAATCATAGTTTTAATAATAGTAATTATAATATAATGTAGATCATTTT